AGTCATTGAGGGATACTGTGATGCAAATTGGATCACCGGATCAACTGATTCCAAGTCCACAAGAGGATATGTATTCATTATTGGTGGAGGAGCGGTATCTTAGAAGTCGTCCAAACAAACTTGTATTGCCCGCTCTATAATGGAGGCTGAGTATGCTCATATGAAGAAGTTGAATGGCTCCGGAATTTCTTGGAAGATATTCCATTTTGGCCCAAACCATTGGCACCAATATGCATACATTGTGATAGTCAAGCGGCAATTGGAAGGGCTGGGAGCGTTATGTATAACGGTAAATCTCGTCATATACGACGAAGACATAAAACCGTTAGACAATTACTCTCTAGAGGAATTATCACGATTGGCTATGTAAAGTCAAGTGATAATGTGTCGGATCCACTTACAAAAGGCCTAACTAGAGAGGTAGTTGAGAAATCATCAAGGGGAATGAGACTGTGGCCGAGAACAAGTCATAGTGGCGGTAACTCTACCTAGAAGACTGGAGATCCCAAGATCTAAGTTCAAGGAGATCAAACAAAGTCATTAATGACGGTTCAACATTGTCAAATAAACTTTTGGTCCATTCTCGTGATGAGACAATATTCAGTACCAAGGATAAAATATCAAGGCTTTTTAATGATTTCTAAATTTGATATGGGGTATATCAAATAGTGTATCTACGGGATGACACGTTTAGGAATCACCTATGTAAGTGTGAAGTGTTAGCCGCTTCAAGGAGAACTTCGTAAGGCCAGTTCTCTACGCACTTATGAAACCAGGCGGTGTTCATGGCTGAAACGAACACAACAATGAGAACCAAAGACGGTTAAGGGTTGGTTGTGTGATTTGTGGTTGTCTAGGTATACACCAAAGTTCGACGGTTCAAAGATATCAAATCTAGGCTGCCCACAGAAAGGAAAGAGTTTACCGACCCGATTGATCGAGAATATCCGACATAAGTTTACTACGGAAAGTTCAAAGTGAAACCTACTTATCCAGATACAATTAATCCTTACTTGCGAATCACACAGTTTTTCATGCATACTTCCATGATATAGCCATTCCCCATTCATGTGGGGGATTGTTGGGTTTTTTATGTATTTAATTAATACATTAAATACTTAAAAGAGGGTGAATGGGAAATGGAGGGAAACGAATTTTTTGAGTGAAATTTTAAGTTTCCCCCTTGGTAAATGGACATTGTCCCATATTGGAAGAGGAAGATGTTTTTTATGAGTATATAAGCAATTGCTCTTCTTCTAGCTCTTAAAGAGTTGAGAAGAAGGCAAGCCTCGCGCCGTCGTCGTCGTCTTCGCTCGCTCGCTCGGCTCGGCTCGGCTCGGCTCGGCTCGGCTTCGGCTTCGGCTTCGATTCGGATTTGGTCAAATGATTGATTGATTAACTTTTTGGACCAAATTTATCTGTTAATAATAAAATTTCGGATTTTCTGAGTTTCTTCTCCTTCTTTTGCATACTTTTAGCATCAAACAAAGCAAAAGTAAGTGTGATTTGCTTCCGAACTTTGTGTTCGCTGAAACACTGGGTTTGCAGTACCACTACACCAATGTGTAATTCGTTCTATCCTGGGAGGAAATAATCCATAACCTTGGGTACTAGGAGGGGATTAAATTCCTTAAGGAAACACTGTGAATTCAGTGGGCTCGAATTGGTTTTCTGTCATTTCTGTTTATATTCATTTATATTTTCAGAATTATTTTTGCAAATACAGTATACTAACATGTACTAGAGCCCAGGAAAAGCCTTTCATGTTATCGGACGGTTGGTATCAGATCTTAATTTCTGAAATTTTAACTTAAAGATGATCTAGTAATGGTCTTAATGGTGCTGATGATTAATCAAAGAAGTTTCTGCCTTTTGCGCTAGTCCCAGTAGAATGTAGAAGATTTCAACACAGATCTGGAACTTTAACAATGTCTCTGGTGCATGAAAGTTCTCTTGGTTAAACAATGTCTTGTACAATTTACTTCATTGCTTATCCCAATACTAACTTGTACATTTGTGCTAGAATTAGAGAGACCTACTCTTATGTGTTTTGAGATGACACTCTACCCGCTTGTATTTTGAAATATATGCTATTAAATTTGCAAACTATCTTTATACAGTTATTTAAGATCAAAAGACTCTGCAAGTTGAGCAATATATATTACTTCAGGTAAAGAAAGATAAGTAGCCAAGACTAGTGTTTATTGCTTCTCGAGTAAAAGAGTAAAACAAGTAATAGGATACTTTCTAATTTTTTCCTCATTTACAAAGTCTCACTGATGCACCGATGAGGAGGTGTGAGAGGTTGGCCTTGGAGGCTTAAGGAGAGGTAGGGGTAGGCCGAAAAATTATTGGGGTGAGGTGATTAGGCAAGACATGGCGATGCTCCACTTTACCGAGGACATGGCCCTTGATAGGAAGGTGAGGAGGTCGAGGATTAGAGTAGATGGTTAGGTAGCTGAGTGATTTCCTTGTTCATACTAGTATAGTATCAGTACGTACTCTCTTATGATTTTTTTTAGTCTTAGGTCTCTATTATTGCCTATTGTGTCTTTCATTTTGGTCTATCTTACTATTTTGATGTTATTAATGCTTCCTTTCCCTGGCTCCTCACCGTTGTTTCTGGCGGTTTTTTTTTCATTATTGTTGTGCTTATGCTTTATTGAGTCGAGGATTTATCGGAAACAATCTCTCTATCTCCACGAGATCGGGATAAAGTTTGCGTACACATTACTCTCCCAAGATCCCGCAATATGAAATTTCACTGGGTATGTTAGTGTTGTATTTACAAAGTCTACGGCAAGAACTCACATTGGATCCACCACAGCCAATTAGTAGTACTAGTAGATTCATCAAAAGCAATATCTTTCTCCTTTACAAAGGAAAAAGGACCTGCACACTTTTATTTCTTCCGATGTTTGTTGGACCTTCTTTAACATGTTTTGCACTTCAACTAAAGTCCTAAAAACGTAAATTTTTTGTCCTGTTTCGTTGACTAAAAGGTATGCACATAGATCTTCTGAAACGCAGTCTTTGTAATTTCTTTACAATCACAGTATTTTATTGACTTTGTCCTTTTATTATAACCGCAGTATTTATTGCTCCCGGGGCACTTTATTTCATCCGCGGAAATGAGTTTTTTTATATAAAAAGTTTCTTCTTTTTAGTACTTGAATGGTATAGCTCCAAAATGTTCAACCAATAATGTTGACCAAAATATGAAGTCCAGATATGACGGTTATCTACTCGTCCATTACCCCGTGTTAGAATAGTAAATTCAAATAACCACGATCTATATGATAAAAGAAATAAAGTTTCAATATTCAAAGGCCTCCTAACTAGAGTCAACTAAGAGTAAGGGTAGCATGTGGGCCGGATAGGACCCGGCCCGGCCCAGGACCGCAAGCCTAAATGGATGGTGTGCCTAAACGGTCCTAATCGGATAGGACCGGGACCGTGGGGAGGTGGGCTGGTAGTGGCCGGTCTTGTGCATGAGGCCCGTGAGACCGAGACTGGCTGGGAAGTGGGCCGGTTCAACCAGTCCTAAACAGGCCCAACGGCTCCAAATTTAAAAAAAAAAAAATTGCCCGTTAGGGCTTTTAAAAAGTAGCCGTTTGGGCTGCCAAAATAGCCGTTGGCTATTTACAAAATAGCCATTTAATCCCTCCCCCCCCCCTCCTCCACC